TGAATCATATTCCACATGGATATACCACGTGGGCTTGTGTATTCATCAGTCGATGGACATTTGGCCACGTCCACATTTGACCGTAATCCACGCTGCTGTGAATATCCAATACGTCCCTTATCTGGGCTGCCGGACTGTGGTGAACGCGGCTGTCCCAGCTCAGTCTCCTCTGATAGGAAAACACTTGCCCGTCAATGCAGAGTCCTGCTGGGACACGAGTTGCCCTGATGACACCGTCTTCAAGGTGTCCGAGGAGGTGTGTTTCAGACCCTGCCCTCCTGGCCCCTCTCCCCAGCACCCCCAGGTGCAGGAGGAAGAGTCTGGCTCTCGACAGTGTTTCCCTGATACCCACCAGCCTCTCAGTCCAGGGTGGCCAACTGGGGGCAGCTGAGGTGGGACTCTTTGCTTCTAGTTGTGATGCCTGCCCACGGTGGTCTCGTCTCAATCCAGACTGCTGTCAATGTGGTCTCTAAATGCCGTCGGTGTGGGGGTGGTAGGGTTCTCTCCAGAGATCCCCGAGATGCCTTCAGGGGCCCACAAGGACAAATAACTTGTTGAACACGCTGACAGTGGGTTTTCCAGCGCCTCCCTGTGGTGAGTACGTCTGAAGGTTAAGTGCGCAGGTAGATAAGGAGACCCAGCTGCCTTCTTTCGAGCCAGACTTTGAGGAGGTTTGTGAAAGTGTAAAACAGTCCTGGAGGTCAGGTGCTGACATCAGGGCCCAGGTAGCTCCCAATTTATCTTTCTGCTCTATTATCTCCAGCTTGGATTTGTTTTTATTAATGCCTTTAAGACAACCCCCTTGCTTCAAATATTGGGCAAGTATCAGAATAGAGAAATGGATCTAGACCAGCCTCTCCATTGGCTTTAATCACCTACCTTTCACCTCGTCAAAACACTCCTAGGCTTCCACACACAGGTACTAATGTTTCCTCGTGATCCTTTTATAACAGTGAAACACGGTTTAATCAAATAGTACAGATCTGATTTCAGTATATTTTATTCTAAGCTAATTATTTAAGAATTCTTATTCATCTCTGAATGATGTGCAGGGTACTTCTCTAGTTACCAAAGTTATATGTTGAAGACAATTTGGAATTGAAAGAATGAGAGACAGACCCTTATTTGGTAGTTAAGACGCAATGACATATATTTCAACAATAATTAAACCTACCAATTTCACCTTTTTATAACTGGAATAAAGACTTTAGCAGCATTAAGAAATCCCATCTTTCTCCTTTTGCCTCAACACTTGACTGTCTGAAGGCTAGAGGCCTATTAGCAGGTAGACTATTAAAATGCAAATGTGAGGCAACCCAAGTAGCTCTATCTTGGAAACAGAAGGATGGCTAAGTACATACTGTATCTCAACTTAATACTCCAGGCCAGGCTGATCCAGCTCCCCTCACAATCGGTCAAGGTCTGGCCCTACAAATGACTACTTTCAGCTTCTGGGGAGCTACATTCTGAGTTATTCAGGGTGACCAGGCCTATTTTACTACATAGATGGACACTGCTGGGGGGACTCTCTAACGGAACAACCGGGCCTTCGGCTTCCTCTGGCTAATAGCAGGGATGTACACTCTTGCTCCTCCTCTGCTGGTGCCTTTAATAATAGGAAGAAGATGCTGTCCCTCCCAACGCACAGAATTCGCTGCCAGAGCAAGCACCATCCTCCAGAAAATCCAACTCCCGATTAGCTCTCTTTTCATTTGTAAGTTTCTTTGAAAGAAATCATTTTCTTTCACTTTTCTACTTCTTAAAAGGTATCTACACATTCTTTAGCGAGAGATGTGTTGTGATAGTTGTTTGGGGAACCACATATTTAGCTTGCTGTTTGTTTCTTTTTCTCTTTCTGTGGAAAAAAAATGAGAATGCTAAATAAAACTTAACTCCAGGGCTCCTGTCATTCCAATGGCTATCTCCTTGACTAATTTCCAGTGATAGAATGTTTTTGTTTATAGTCTTTCAGCCAATTATCAGTCAATATGCTTTCTCAGGGGAGTGTGAAATTCAGGATAAAAGGCAAAAAACTTATTATATGTGAGTTGTAACCTCTGCTAACCAATGACATATGGTATGATTTGAGAAAATTTTGTTGGCACATTGTCAAATATATTTTTGAAAACCAAAACATTCAGTCCGTGATCTCTATACACAAATCAACTGAAACGCTGAGACCACACTGGTCACAGATCTTTGAGAATGCACTTGACTCTTATTGTGTTTTAAAGCCATGAGAAACCTGTGAAATAATCCAACCTCGTGCCTCAAATTAATAGAGTTCTGTTTCATGGAATTTTCTGTGAACCAGCTTTTAATTTACACTGATACCGAGAATCCTACAACTTAGATTTCAAGAGTTGTCCTTGACGCATTATATTTTTCTCAACTAATTTTATAACTCAGTAAAAAACATAATTCTCTTTTTATCTTTTTCTAAAACATGACCTTGAATATGTAAACTTATTTCTTTTAAACAAAATATACCGTTTAACGAAGCTGGCGTGGAGCTTAAAAAGTCAGACGTTGTAAACAGCAGCAGTTATTATCTCGTGTTTCATTTTTGAAAATGCACACTGCATTCACATTTCTTCACGACTGGTGCTTTTCTATGTGAACGTTGCTGAAGAGTCATAGCAGGACATGAAGGGTCTCTGGAGACTGGAAAGGGCAAAGGTAGCATATTTTGAAAGGGGCTAATTGATAACCTTAGCAGTTGCAAAAAAAATCTAGAATATTCTTCAAGCAATCAATTTGAACCAACTTAGGAAAGTATGGACACTGGATAACTATCAAATTACTTTTAGGAAGAAAATTGGGGCAGGAGAAATGAACATCCCTGCGTGATGGAGCACCAAGCTGTGTACAGGAGTGGAACATTCCACGGGGTCCATGGTAACCTCCACCTACCTGATGTCTCCTTGGTCAAGAGGGCGCCTCAACACCTACAGTCTGCAGGGCTCCCATCACCTCGGAGAGCCGGCGACAAGGGACCTTTTAATAGGCAAACCATTTCCTAATGAATCCCTCCTGGTCCATTAGTAAGTAAGTCTCTTGGGAAGAAAGTCAGGAAACCTCAGCCCTTCTCTGAGTTTATCTCTGGAGTGATTGCAGACTACTTAATTGAGGTCTCTGCGTACTAGACAGGTAGGTGACTGGCTGCAGTGCTTTCAGAGGTTTATATTCAAACCGGAGGGCATATTAATTTTACCTTTTCTTCCATAGGTAAAAAAAAATTCCTCTCTTCTCCCACTGTGGGCTTTTTGTGCTTCCAACATATGCAGCCTCGCCCACGAAATATCCAGTCAGCTTCAGCCACTAGTGGTAAGGACTTAGCTAAGCTCTTCCACTGGTCTCCTGCTTGGAGATGTTCGCAGCCCTCATCCCAAATTCAAACAAACAAACAACAAAAGACTCACTCCCAAACACCCCAGGAATAAGGCTTAGACTCCATTTGGAAATTGAATTTCCTCCATACTCAATCAATATTTAATAAAGAGAGAAAAAGAGCTCATTACAAAGACTATCCTGTTTCTCCACAAGTCATCTACGAGATATTTCAGAATGCAGGGAGATAAGTTTAATTGGAAACTTACACACTCCCCTTGCAGCCAGTGAGCACGCAGCCCTTCCCGAGGACACAGCATGGCCAGCATTTCCCCTGGTCTGCTCAGGGACTGCAGTGAAGGCTGGGCTTGGGAGCGCCTTGGGGAAATCTGGCCTCACCTCGCTAGCCCCCTAGTGTAGCCCAAATCGGGCTGCTAGAGAGCTGAGTGATTATGCAGGCATGTCCTCAAGTTTTATTTTCAGTTTGAGCATTGCTAACTAGTCTGCACCAGTCATGGACTTACTGTGGGGGGGTTTATTCTACATCATCTATATTCTCTCTTCCTTAGCAGCACTTAATGAGTTGAAGGGATTGGAAAGTTGTTCCCAGCCAAGGCAATATCCTATGAGTTATAAATGACATTTCATCCTCATATGCAGATTTCCTGCACTGAAGTGAATTATTTACAAGGTCGAGCTTGTGGATTCCGACAATCAGCTCCCTGAGATTTACACCTGCACTGTCTTTCCTCTCCTGCTGGGAGTGCGTGAAGTTCCCCACTGCCCTTTAAGATCTGAAGATTTAACAAGAACGGCTGCTCCTGAGGCAGGTGCTCTCTTGCTAAAACTGTAACTGAAAGGTGAGGTGAGCAGAAACTGGAACAGAAACTCAGCCACTCCTGGACTGGCTGCTCCCTGCTCCCCTGGGAGGTGTCATCTGCAGTGCATGCAAATGAGGAGCACCAAGCCTTTAAGTTCTGGGGAGACCACTGTGCCCTATTAGCAGAGATTTCACCACCTTGAGTTTTAGTTAATTAGTGTAATATTTTCCTCCTGAATGTGTGAAAAATCCAAATTTTCTCTTAACCAAAGCACTGAGTCTAGCAATGTGCTTATCCTTTGAGGGATGGAGGAGTTGAATGCACCAAACTATAGGGGTCGACGAGTCTCCCAATTTATAACAAGGCTGAAGAAAATTGAAGCAAGAGTCCAAAACCAGACAAGTCCACCAGCGGAACAAAAAGATAGCACAGAAACCAATTTATGTGCACTAGTGCCTAAATCTCAGAGGAAGGTTACATTTCCAAGGAATGAGGAAAAGATAGGTGATTCTTCTAGTATGTGGAATGAGAACATCTGATGATTCATTAGGAAAAAAGTAAGGATTCCTGCATTATATCACAAACAAACAGACAAAAAAATTCCTGTTTTATCAAATGTCCTGACCCGGGGGACAGTCGAACAGGTTTCCTGAGGGAAGGAGTGAGAGCCGGGATGAGGGGTGCAATGTTACAACACGGAGACGATACAGTGTCAGGGTCGTTCGTTTATTGTGGGCAGCACGTAGATGACACAGTGTTACAACTCTTCAGGGTCTTCAGGGTCGTCCAGAGACTACACGGTGTCACAACTCTTCAGGGTCTTTAGGGTCGTCTGGAGACGATGCGGTGTTACAACTCTTCAGGCTCTTCAGGGTCATCTGGAGACTGTGGACCAGGAGTCATGGTTATATACATGCTAGTGGGCCGTGATTGGTTGTAAAAGGTGGGTTATGACTGGTTGCTTTGTGGACCAATCATGAGGTGCCAGATATGCAAATCTGAGGGATTCTAGTGCCCAATCAGAGCATGACTTTGAAGGTGAGGTTTTGAAGGGAAGCCAATCATGGCTTTTGGCATTGTGTAATTGTTTGCTTTCTGAGAAACAGGTGATATTTGCTGGTGCGCAGCCTCCCAAATATCCCCCTTCTCTGTTTTAATTTAAGAGATGAGGAAAAGGCCTGGGGGAATCGTGCCTGTCTTAGGTTGGAGTCGTTTATGGAACCATATCTCCATTCTTACCTGTCATTGGAGAGTCCCATAGCTATGACGGGCTTCCTGTCTTAGGTGGAAGGACTGAACAGTTATTGGGTTCATCAGACTCTCTAACCCATCTTTGGCTAACTGATTCAGTACCTCAGGCGAGACCAGTATAGGGGTGTTGGTCTTCCATCTCCAATCTAGTATAGTGGACCTGGATAGGCTGCATATAATAGGTCCCAGTGAGCAAACAATTAAAAAGCCAATGAATGGGCCAAGGAGGGGGAGCGGGAAAGGGAGGAGATGGTTCCAGGCAGACCATCGGCAAGTTGTTTTCTACATTGTTGGAGAGATTCTTGGAGTTGATGTATGTTGTTACAAATGGTGCCGGACTTATTGGCATAAAAGCAGCAGCGTTCCTGTAAAGCAAGACAGAGACCCCCTGTTCTGCCAGGAGGAGATTTAAACCTTGTCTATTTTGAAGAACCACCTCAGTTAGGGAATCTAGTTGGTCTGAGATAAGACCCTCAGTGACTTGGCATCTAATGGCTGCCTGACAAGAAGCATTAGCATTTTCATATGCCAGTTGTTTTACAAAGTCTGTACTTGCATCAGCATTACCGAATATTCTTTCTGACAAGGTAATTGATCGATGTACAAAGTCAGAAAAAGGTTCATCAGGCCCTTGTCTAATGTTAGTAAGGGAGGTGCTCAAATCTCCTTTGGCAGGGAGTTTTTTCCAGGCCTTTATGCCTGCCGTATGAATTTGTGCAAAGAGCCCTGGGTCATACTGCATTTGATTTTCATTGTG